CCGGCGGGTTGCGGCCACGCTGCCATGAAGAATAGCGCTCGAACCCTAGCACGGAATCAGATCGCAATTTTTCGGGCTAAACGAATTGCGTGATTCTACCCGGGGATCCGTGCGATCAAGGATAATCGCGATGGATTTCGCGCAAGACGCGTAGTATAACCACCGTAAAGTAACCTTACGGTAGGTCGGACAGTCGCAGGCTTTAATCGTAGTTTCGCGCGTATAGAAATAATGTATATAATGACTTACCAGTGGTCGTCCACCGTGCGGTTGCTCTCTGTACCCCTGGATGGCGCTCTCGTGGCTTACATGGATCGGCACCTCCTGAATCTCTAGATGCTGCCGACTCTGGGAAACTTGTTTTGGATCGCGCGGCGGCGAGTTCAAATATTCGAATCACTTGTAATTGACCGATGGGCACTAGGAACACCGCACGTCGCGGTTTCGCTTAGGCGTAGGAGGAAATGTGCCGTGTAAGAATGTTCGAATGGGAGGGAGTAGAAATAGAATTACTACAAATAATATATATATATATATATATATATATATATATATATATATAATGTGTATTGTATAATTCTTGATATATAATATGCTCACAAAGATATCTTAAGTATGGCTAGAGTAATGGAAGTGACGAAATAACTAAAATGAACTGTTTAACAAAATAAAAAATTATGCATTAGAATAAAACGCTCATAAATGTTTAAGAATGTTAAAGATAACCTAAAGTTAATTGCTTAAGAATTAGAGGGAACTAAGGTTTAGAATTAGTGAAATAGAGAAATGGGATTTAGCGATGAGGATTATCTTTGGACTTCCGATCCCGGTTACTGTATCAAATGGTACAGCCTCTCAAAGTCAAAGGTTGCTATCCTGCTGTCAATGTATGCCTGTCTCCACCGTTGCCCCTCCTCTTCCGGTGCAAATAATACAAATAAGCCCCGGGGTCGACACCAATTTTTTGGCAGCCTCCGGGTGCTTGGACGCAATGCGCCATGGGAGATCCACCATAGAAGGAGGAGGGCATACTAGGTGGCAGCGGGACGCCGTGCGTTCGAGATCTGCGTATCTTTTTCGTTCCAGAAAGAGAAAAATATCGAGAGCGCGGTCCTGCTAGGCCGGGACTCGAACCCGGGTCTTTCGCTTGCCAGACGACTGCTCTAAACCACTGAGCTACCTAACGCTCCACGCTCACGACACTCTCCTCTTCCTAGATAACGTTCAGAGATGCCGTTACGAGACATAGCGAGTTTATGACCGGTATTCATAGTCGGATCTTATATTTAAGACTATCTTAATTTTATCTTCAGATACTCCGTAGCTAATGAAATAATCCGTACATCATCTAAAGATAAACTTAAAACAGTCTTAAATATAAGATCCGACTATGAATATATATCTATGTCTCGTAGTTGTGGGCGCAGGGACGCGGCGAGATACGATTCACGAGTGTCACGGTCGCACGTCGGCCGAAGGCATCTTTCTTTCCGCTGCCGCTTTTTGTACGCTAATTTGTTGAGACAAAATAATTAATTTCTCAAAAACTATTGTGAATATCGCAAAACGGCACAGGACTTTCTTGCTCACCTCAATCTGTTTTTCGTTCTCACCAAGGGTCATCATGGGACTTCGGGACACCCTGTATATGGAGGGAGAATTGCGTATACCTTTTGTAGGGAGCGTCCCGATTGACCACGGTACGATTGGACACAACCAACCGATGAGAAGAATTACCTAGTGAATTACTAGGTCGAACCAATCATTACAATCTGTGTCCAATCGTATCGTGGTCAATCGGGTCCCACCCCCTTTTGTAGATCAAAAGTGTGTCCAAGATGTGTGCGAGAGAGAAAGGTATACATTCCTATTGGTTGGGACCCGATTGACCACGATACGATTGGACACAGATTGTAATGATTGGTTCGACCTAGTAATTCACTAGATAATTCTTTTCATCGGTTGGTTGTGTCCAATCGTACCGTGGTCAATCGGGACGCTCCCTACAAAAGGTATACGCAATTCTCCCTCCATATACAGGGTGTCCCGAAGTCCCATGATGACCCTTGGTGAGAACGAAAAACAGATTGAGGTGAGCAAGAAAGTCCTGTGCCGTTTTGCGATATTCACAATAGTTTTTGAGAAATTAATTATTTTGTCTCAACAAATTAGCGTACAAAAAGCGGCAGCGGAAAGAAAGATGCCTTCGGCCGACGTGCGACCG